TGGTCTACACCCCAGCTCTTCTATTACTGCTCACACACGTGAAAGCATGATGGCGCCATCGTAAGATGTTACTACTGATGTCTGTGGGTATGATGCTCGTCGGTGGATGGCGGCTTCATTCCTTGAATGTGAAATTCAGCAAAATTGGAAATCTGTGCACTGAAATGGAAGGTTGGATATGCAAATGGTAATGGCCAGGCCATGTAGGAAAGGAATTCTCACCATCTACAGTAACAGGCTGGGAGCCAGCTTCTCCCGTCAGACGCGGGAAGCCAGGCCCCTGCCTCTAGCAACAACCCAGATCGTCGTGACCCTGGAACAACAGGCCCCAAGTGGGCCTTGACCAACAGCTGGCAACTCTCCCAGCTTTAGTCTTGGCTTCCAGCGCATGGCCAGCCAGGAGAGGCAGAAAGGTGCCCCGAAGGGATGACATGGGCGCCCCTCAGGCAGTCCCAGCACGGTGGCCGCTGGGCACACGCCAGGCCGCCCCTCGTCCCTGCTGCCTCTTGTTTTGTCCCGTGTGAGCAATGGCAGCTGGGCCCCGCCAGGGCAGCTTGGAATCAATACCCCTCTGTGTCCACAAAAGCCATTCAAAAAAGAGCCCCCATTATCCTAAGGCAACCGCGACCCCGGCGCCCTGGACACAGCTCAGCAGCCTGCTGGTGGTGTCCTGCAAGTGCGGCTGGCACGTCCCGGGGACACGGTGAGGCCGGCGCCTTCCACTCGGGTGTCCGCAGGGGGATGCAGCCGCCGCAGCGTCCAGGGGAGAGGACTTGCTGTGTGTCAGGGGACGATCGCGACCCTTGGCCTTTTATTTTCGGCAAGTGAAATGACAGCCTGCCTTTGGCAGGAGTCCAGGGGAGATGTCAGCTTTTGCAGATCACCTGCCCCTCCAGTTGGACTTCTATTTATGACCACACTTCTGGACAGACTCCCGGCCCCTGGAGCCCTCAGCAGGGCGCCCACCCAGGCGAGGGCCTGCACCGCCTGCCCGATGGGGCCTCTTCTCTAAATCGAGTGAGAGATGATATCCAGGGACCCCAATTAAGTGGGAGGCGGAAATCTCAAAGTGGTAATTAGAACAGGAGAGGAGTTAGGCCAGAAGGCCTGGCGCCCTCAGCCTCAGTGTGGAGGAGACTATTTGCATGAGTTAGAATTGCAAATGGAGCAAGGGAAATATTTGCATCTTGGTTGGTCTTAATGTGCGAGAGCTCATTTCTGTTTGCAACAGCTCAGCTTCACGAGAAAGCACACTAGCAAAACAGAACCACACCAACCACACCACTCCCTGCTCAGCTGTGCGTCCTTCAAGTAGGGCAGGGTCTCCTGCCTGCTTAAGCAGCAGCAGCCCTGGGCTCTTGGGGGGGCAGGTTGACGGGGAGAGAGAAACGCTGCAGGTTTGCTATGAAATCACAGAAGCACACGACGCCGGCGCCCAGCCTAAATCGCCTGGGCCATCGGCCCTATGAGACATCCCAGGGTGCTGAGGCGAAGCCTTGGCAACACTGTGCGGTTTCTTCTCCTTGGTGAGTGAAACGCCCAGCCCATGTTGAAGTTTCTGGAACGTCTCGAGGTGTAGGAAGCCTGCTGTACTCTGACCGTGCGTGGTTCATGGGGGGTATGGGATATGGCTTGGAAAATACTCATTGTCTGGTCTCCCCAGTTTTTCATGAGTAGAATGAAGCCCGGCGGTGAGTGACACAGTTTTGGAGTGAGCCCAGGGGCTACCCGAGTCCCCGCTTCGCGAGCCCTGCTCTTACTGCACCGTCGCCGCCTCTGGGTGAGCCTGGGGCTGCAAAGCCAGGCAGCGTGTGAAGACTACGACCTCAGTTTTTAATAAAATCTAAACTAAGGAAAATGCCCAGACACTGCTGCCCTGGCCCGGCTGTCGTGCCCGCACCCTCCCCGGAACCCTGGCAGGCAACATGGACCTGCCCAGGGGAGACCAGTCGTCCCCAGCTGCCCCCAGACTCCCACAGCGTGGGTGCTGGGAAAGAGGGTGCTGTTAGCTCACTGCAGCCGAGGGGAGCCCGGGGCGGCCCATGGGAGTTAGAGGACAGAGAGGAGGCCGCGGCCAGGGCCAGGGCCAGGAGGCCAGCACCCGCCCTTCCTGCGACCCCCCTTCCATCTGGCCCGAGGCCGGCCACAC